CAGGCAGATGGGGGCACCGCGTGCCTGTCCTGGAGGCCACCTACCGGCAGCCCCTCTGTGCCCCTGTGCTCAAGGCTGGCCCAGGTGCTGGGCAGGTCTGCCCTGTGCCTTCTGAGGTGCCCCCGCTCATCCCGGGAGGGTAAAGGAACCTCTGGTCATCGCTGCTGTTTTTCTGCGTGAGACAGAATTGACTTGAGCAGTGACTTTCTCCTGTGCGCGGTCAGCCTGCCCACTGCCCGCGCGGGGCGATTGCTTTAAGTCGCAGTGGTGAGGGCCACGCAGAGGCAACTGTGCAAGTCGGCTCATTTCCGAACAAGCCGGCCAGTGGCATCCGGCACGTGATGAGTTTTAACTGAAGAATTTTCTAGAGGCCAATCTCGAGGCTCAGCCTCGTGTCACAGGCTCCCTCACCGCCCAGAACTAGAACGTTCCAATTTGGTATGACTTGGGAGGTTATTTGGAGGTGTGGGAACGCTCAATACGGGGTGTCTCCCCATATAAACTTACATGTGGAATGCAGACACCAAACAGGGGGGTGTGGGGGAAGGAGGCAAGGCTTGCAGGCTGATCATGGATCAGAAGCATCCGGCAGGGAAGGCGGAGGGGTCACCACAGGGAAGGGTGCATGGCGGGGGCTGTGATGGTGGGAGAACTCAGTGGGACTAAACCAGAGAAATCAAATACTATGCAAAAATCAACGGAGATGTAAGAAAATAAACAAGAAAGGAGGGAGGGAGGCAGGCAGGAAGGAAGGGGATCCCCAAATCCCAAAGTGACTTGCAGTCACACCGAGTAGCAACTCGCGTGCAGGAAGCAGGAAGCCCTGCAGAATGTAATCATAACACGTCTCAGATTTCACCTGGCTCATGACTGAGAGAGCCACAAAATCAGAAAAGAATAAGCAAGGCAGACTGTGAGCATCAGAAATGCGAACTTCAATTTGCTGCAAACCTGACTCTTTCCACGGGGCGGGTGGGGGGCCAGTTTCATCTCCAGCAGACACATCCGTTTGCATGTCTGGCAGATGCTGCTCATTACGGGCCCCGCAATACAATTTACAGACCCACAAGCTCACTCAGCGCCAAGGACAGGAGGGGGCGGCCGGGAAGGCAGGGCGCACATCCCCCTGCAAACCCACCCAGCCGGTGTGGGGTCTCTGCCCATTTCAAAGTGGCAGGGTGTGGACACCCCCGTCGCACTTGTTACTGAACTGCTGTGAGAGTCACCAAGTATCAGCCGCGGCATCGGAACCGCTTCTTGGGGTCTCAGATTTTTGTAACTGCGCGTAAATATTCGTAAACACACGTGACTACCAGGGACTTCTTTCGTGTTTTTTCAATTTCATCGTCCACCTAAATGTTTTTTTGTTTTTTTTGAAGCCGCCCTCACCTTCGATTTTCTTTTATGATAAATCCCGGTGACAAAAGTAATTGCAAAAAAACAAATCTTAATTCTACAAAGAGTTGTTCCCCCTGGGTCACGTGAGTAGATAAACGACAGTGTCAGCTCCACGGGGTTCTGCTGGTTCCTGGGGCTGGGGTGAGCCGCCTCTTTGGAGTCTGAGCGCAGTTCTGTCGAGGCACATAGAAGTTGCTCCCCATGAGAAGAGTGGAGATTTAAAGTTTTTAAGAGCTATTTGTGGGGCCTCCCTGGTGGCGCAAGGGGTTAAGGCTCAGCACTATGAAGCTGTCCGCAGCCTCTGCAGCATGAGTTCCATCCCCAGCCAGGGAGCTACCCACACGGCACAGCAGACCTCTCCTGTCTCCCCGCTGCTCCCCTCAGCAGTGGATTTCAGTGGATCCCCCTGTTCTGTTTCCCACTCTCTCTGGGGAGTCCTTTCACCCCCCACACCTCTGGCCTGTACCCCCATTCTTGTATGCATAAATAAATAAATCTTTTTAAAAAGAGCTCTTTGCGGGGGACATTCAGCAAAGATATAAAACTGGACATTCTGGGGTCTTGTGGGAACTTGTGGGGTGTGAAGCCACGAGGGCTGCCTTTGAAATGGACGGAGCTGCGTCCCAGCGACTTCCCAGCTGCGCCTGTTTCTGCTGCGGCGCCTGTCAGTGCCTCACCCGTGCTGTCCAGTGGGGACTGTGCCGTCCCTCCCTAAGTCGAAGCCCACAGGGTGTGAGACCCGCGACCCCAACCCGCCATGCTAGGCCCCCGGCCTCAGAGAACCCGCACCCCAATTCCAGTTTGGAAGGGAGAGGCAAAAGGTCCTCACTGTCTTTCTGTGGCCCCCTGAGAACGGCACGCAGCTGGCGCCAGGCGCTGTCCTGCTGGCGGGACCAGTGAGCGCGGCGGCTCTTCGAGAAAGGACCTAGAAACACTCGGGGTGGTGTGTGTTGTGGCTGCTCGTCTGCTTGGGTGACTCACACCCCACGTGCGAGAGACCGTTCGGAAATGGCCGCTCATTTTCCCACCCACTGTGCGTGGCGTGACCCCGTGCGGCCCCGCAGTGTTCGTCCCCCTGACAGCTGAGTGTGCGCGTGCCGCACGCCCATCTCTACTGGCACGAGGCAGCCCCCGACGTGGCTGCTGCCAACCATGCCGCAGTGGGCACGGGGTCGCGAGGCTTCACCCCTCGATGTGAGGATGAACCCCCAAGTTCATATAGTTTTATAAATTAATTTTAAAGAAAAGGGGTTTGGTGTTTTAGGAGAAGCTGCTGTATCTCTTTTGGGCCAACATTGCCTCCCTCTGGCGAATTCTGTGATCCAAAGCAGGAGAGAGGAACCCCAGAGCACTTGTTTTGAATGTCGGAGCCCCGGCTCCTTCAGACGGAAACACTCGCGTGAAAGCTGCGCGCCTGCCCTGAGGCCTCCAAGCACACTCCCTACATCAGTGTTGGGAGGTGCAGCCTGGCCCTCCCACCTCGGCGCCGCCCCCCGCCGGGCACTCCCCCCAGCCCTGCTCGCCGTCCGCGCTCCCCCCGAGTGTGTGTGCTGGAGAAAGGAAACTCTCTGTAGTAAAAGGTGTTGGGAAATTGGACAAGCCACACGCAGAGAAGGGAGCCAGGCCCCTGTCTCACACGACAGACACGAGATGGGATACTACTCGGGTGTCAAAAAGGTAAACTCTTGCCATTTGCGAAACAAGGATGCACCTGGCGGGGATGGCTCCGCGCGGCAGGCAGAGGAGGACAAAGGCTGGGCCGTGTCACGTAGACGTGGCCTCTAGGGAAGCCGAGCACATGGGCAGACAAATGCAAACCAATAACAAAACCTAGAAATCTGACTACGGGGGCTACCAAGGCGGGGTGGGGAGGAGAAGACAACAAGGGGGGAGCACGATGGACTGGGGTGGGGGCTTCGGGCGCCTGGTGGTGGGTGCGGGGCAGTGACGTAGAGCTGCAGGGCGGCCCCGGGCCGCGGAGTCACAGGCAGTGATATAAACCAGTGTTACCTCAACTTTTAAAAATTAAAAGAATAACAACTAAAAATAGGAAAATCATTATTATAAAAATTATTCAAAATGATGACATGAAAGCCAGGAAATCCGAAGGAGGAGGCGAGGGGAAAACAAGGATGGCCCAGCCCAGAAAAAGTCAGTGATGACATTAATTATGCACCTGAGGCGCTTACCACAGCAGCCCAGAGCGTGGGCCTTACTCATGTTTTAATGCGTTTTAAAGGCTGAATTCATGTGCAGAGTATCCTTGATTCACTGAGTTTAAATTAAAAATCAATAAAAGTAAGAGGCCCAGAATAACTTTACATATTTGAAAATTAAATGTTTTTAAATACTCATTGGACCAAGCAGACATTACAGGGAAAATTAGAAATAATTTGAACTGAATAATAATGTAGCTCAACATATCAAAATTTGTGAGATGTAGCGGACGCCATCCACAGAGGGAAATTTTTGGCTTCTGTAGCGTCATTAGCAAGATGGGAAATCAAGCTGGAGACTGAGCTCCACATCCACAGCTCGGGAAAGAGAACTTGGAGCCAGAGCAGGTGAAAAGGGGGACACACGAGAAAAGAACTTAATTCCGTGATAGCGGGCTCCACAGAGCACTGAGGTGATGGTACCGCTTGGACGGCGGGTGGGGAGCCGGGTCTGCACACGCTGATCGCAGAGGGGGTGTGAGATGCCCTGCCCTCCCCTCACAGCGGTTCAGAAAGACGGGCCTGTCTGTCCCTGGCTGCGTGCCAAGAACCCAGCCTTTTGTATTGTCTGTCATATCCGCACTATGTGTCCACACGCGAGAACACGTGCATGAACACACAAACGTGCACACGCGCACACACACACACACACACACACACGCTCGCACATGCACCTGCCCCATTCAGTGCTCGTGCTGACTTTCTAGGGGATATTTCAATCTGGGCTGATTTTACAAGGACCCCTGTCAGGTCCTGAGAACACAAGGTAGAGATTCAAAGACCTGGATGCCAGGAAAACTGCCGGAGCCTCGGGGCAGCAGAGAGGCTCGTGGACAAAAGGAGGACAACCTCGCAGACTGCAGGTGTGGGTACTGCAGGTGTACCCCTACACACTTCACCCCAAACGCTCAGGTCTCAGACACTGGCCTCTTCAGTACCATCTTCCACCCATTTTTGTAGCAATTTTCTTTCTCTTTTTTTTAAACAGGTACTTTTTTTTTAAAAGATTTATTTATTTATACAAGAACCGGGGTACAGGCCAGAGATGCGGGGGGTGAGAAGATTCACCAGAGACAGAGCAGGGAGCAGAACAGGCAGACTGATGAAATACACTGCCGAGGGGAGCAGCGGGAGACAGGAGAGGTCTGCCGCGCCCTGCGGGTCACTCCCCGGCCGGCCAGGGATCGAACTCGTGCTGCAGAGGCTGTGGACTGCTTCATAGTGTGGTGCTTAACCCCTTGTGCCACCAGGAAGGCCCTAAAGGACGCTTTTGACAAAGCAAAGGATATCTATTTTTCACAAGACAGTTCACTTCATCTAAGTGGCCGTCAAAGGCTTCACGAGTCCTTCACATCTCATGTCTCTGTTTTATTTCCTCTCTTGTAGATACAGAATTCATCTACAGAGAACAGAAAGGCAACGTGATCCTGCGGAATGTGGAGACCAATATTTCTACTGTGTTAATAGAAGGCAAAAAAATTGTAAGTACTCTCTCTAATGACCAGGATAATTTCAGTTTCCCTCCTGCAAGTCAATAAAGCAGAAAATGACTTTAGGTCTCAACTTTTAGAATAGCCAAGCAGAAGCAATAAACTTGTACTACTACAGGCTGAGCAACTGAAGATAATGTGAAATTGAAACCACACTAATTTAATAAGATGAAAGCAGTTTCTTTCAGTGTGCCGGAAATTTCTCTGCAGGTGCAGGAACAAGTGTTGCATATCATATATAATTGAAAGATAAAGTCCTCAGGCTTTACACATTACAGAACAATTGCAATAATGCAGAGAATACTTCAGGAGGACTTGCTCGATCTCGTGGAGGAAAAAAAAAGCTCTCGCCGCCACATGCCCAGGGAATATTAATTTAGGGGCTCCGGAACTTCCTCTGATGACATTCCCTGAAGTTTGTGCTTCCAGACAAGTTCGGAGTCGATGGGAAGGCACTGCTCTGCAATTTGGGGAAAAACCCATTTGCCCAAAGATTCAAATGACCTTGAGATTTGGCGTTCAAGTGCAGGGCAGGTTGTCTATGAAAGATACCGACGTTGTGGGCCAAAAATCAACCTGGAGGATTAACTCTTCTTTTCGGTGGGTTCGCTTTCATTATAGAAGGAATGAATTAAGGAGTTTGTCATTTTCTTGTCCAGGAAACTGGGGGAGCAAATGAGGAAATGAGGGATAATTCTATACAAAGAGCCAGACTTGAAACAAGCCCCCCGTGACGGTGCATGTCTGTGGTGTGCGTGGGTCAGAAGCCGGCGCGCTCCATCCTGGGGCACAGGCGGCCACACAGGAGTGGACCCTGCGTTTACAGAGGAGGGGCTGAGCCCGGCCAGATAGCCCAGCCCTCGGCACCTGGGGGGACAGGGGGGTTCCCAGACCCCTGCAGGGCCGTGCGCGCCCCCTGCTCCCCCCTCAGGAACACCTAACTTGCCATTTAAGTGCTTGTGATTTTGGGTGTAAAGACGCCTTTTTCTTCAAAGAACAAGTTTATTGCGGTTTAATCATAAACGTACTTGTTTCTCGTGCAGCCCGCTGGCCGGTGGGGTAGGGGTGGGGTCCCCTCCTGCGAGGAGAGACGAGGGAGCGGCGGAGCGTGAGCGGGTTTCGCGCCCCTCCGCTCCCGTCGGAGGCTGCGGCCGTCGTGTGTTTGAGGTTGTCTGGGGCGGTGACCGGGGCTCCAGGGAGCACCTGCTGTCAAGAAAGGGTCCTGGTTCCCGAGGGCGAGCCTGTTCCGTGGGTCGCGACCCTTGCTCGGAGCCGCCGCTTCCCGCTGCCTCAACCGCGTGGGGCAGGCGCTGTCCCTCGTGCCCCGGCCGCTCGGCTGGTCATGCCCAGCCGCGTGTGGATGCTCCTGAGCAGACGCCAACCAGGACGCGTCCCGGAGCCGCCGCGACTCGGGACCCTTCCGGGACCCCTGTCCCCCCTCCCGGCTCCCTCTTGCGGGACAGCGGGGTTCGGGGGCCCCTCAGGGCGGGCATCCTGCTCCACTGTCAGAGCCGTGCTGAGCGTGGCAGTGAGTTTGAGGCCCTGAGTTTGAGGGTCCCCTGCACCCTGGTGGGGTGGGGGAGCACGAGCTGCCCAGGACCCCAACCCGGAGCAGCAGCTCCTGCTCCCGCTGGGGTCCTCAGCTGTGTCCTCTCTGCCACCAGCCCGGGGCCCCCTCCTCACTGGACACCCAGAGGCTTTGAGCTGATTTCAGGGACTCGGGCCTCAGAGAAAAGGGCTGTGACGGGCGAGGCCAGCTGCAGTCTCAGGGCGGCCTGCCCGGTACCCCTGAGCTGGCAGGAGCGGGGGGAAGCTATGGCGCTGCTGATGGGAGGCCCCAGGGCCTTGGCCTTCGCCTCGGTCTCCCCCGCCAGCTTCGTGGCTCCCAGGCCTCAGGGAGCGCCCCGCCCGCGGTTGGCCCCCGCTGCCCCAGGCAGCTGCTCAGAGCCAGCTCCTCGGGAAGGACCCAGGGCAGGGCAGTGAGGGCCACGCCTTACGGCCGCGGGAGAGCTTCTGGGTCACCCTTGGGCTCCGGGCTGGCCTCTCCTCACACCTCCCAGAGGACAGCAGGACGGCCCGGCTCGCCCCGCTCTGCCCACGGGCACCCGCTGGGGCTCAGGCTCGGGCTCGGGCAGGGGCGTGAGGGTCCAAGCAGGAGATCTGGAGGCCACCCCAAGGGGGCAGGGCGGCTGGTAGGATCCCCCCAACATGGTTCTGAGCACCTTCCCTGCAGGAGTCGGGACTCCAGGGCTTCCCGGGGTGAGGCGAGGCCTGAAGCTGGTGGTTTCAGCCGGGGGTGATCCCTTGGATTTCTAAAAATAACGAAAATCACACCTAAGCATTCACTCACTGGCATGATACACTTGATGTCCCAGGAATTGCAGGGCATTGTATTTCACTCTCACTTTAGAAATAATTTAAATGTCAAGCTTAACATATTTTATTTTTCTGCTCCTATAAAACTCTTGTCAACAAATGAACAAATTATAGATGTAGTATTTTGTCACAGATTATAAGTTTCATAATTTTATAACAAATTATAAAAATTTCCGACATCTCTCTCTTCGCCTCTGAAAAACGAAACACTGACTGTATCTCGTGGCTCAAGCTGGGTCTTTAGAAGTTGGTGGTTCCTGAAAAATCTCGTGAATCTTTTTGCCACTGAGTACAAGATCGATTTCTTTCTCCCCCTGGTTGTCTTCTCTTCTCTTCTCTTCTCTTCTCTCTCTCTCTCTCACGCCCCCAACCCCCAGCAGCAGTGCATTCACACGGGCTCACCGCATGTAGCCGAGCTTCACTGCAGAGATTTCACGGGGCCGTCATGGAAGCTGAGCCACCGTCTCTCCGATCCCCAATCACCACTGAGCAGAACTCCCCCAAAGTGTTTAGCCCTTGCTGGGGATTTAGATATGCACGGTTGGAACAGTCTGTGGGGATCAGGTCTTTGGCGCCACGAGGCCCACACACAGGACTTTGGCTTGGCCTCCCCTGCAGGCGGCCCGACAGGCCAGCTCAGGACAACCCCCAGTAGCGGCCTGGGGCCTCCCGCCCTGTTTATTGCTGATGCCGGGACGCAGTGGGGAGGGTGACACGGCCACTCACAGCCGCATTTACGTCCTGGGGTTTGGAAAGCAACTCGGCCAGGCGTTCTAGATTAATAAAAATAATTGTGGATTTTGATTCAGTCCATGGACGTTTTCATAAGTAAATAACCAACAATATAATGCCGTCCTTGGAGGATCCAAAAGAGGCTAGTTTTTTTAAAACTAAATTACCAAGAAAATTTCTTAATAAGGAAGAATACAGTAAAAAATATAATTTAATAGCTTTTGTTGTCACTAACATAAGTACCTAAAAGAGGAAGTGGAGGAAATAGTCCATTGACTGTAAGAACAAAACCTGTAAAAAAAAAAAAAAAAAGGAAAGAAAGAAAAGAAAAACAAGCCATAAGCCTGAGACCAGCAGAAGACTTAGAACGAAGCAAGCTATAAAATCTTGATGAATATTTGAAAGAAATTAAAGATAGAATTTTAGAGAAGGGGACAATATTGAAAAGGTTAATTCTCTAACTAGTACAATTCCACTTAGGCATTTTGGAAAAGCTTAACTGCCACACGCCTGATGAACTGGCGTCACTGTCATAAGGAAGAGAGGCCGGAACGTGGCCGCAGAATCCCACACCCCCTCGCGCCTGCTGCTGTCCTCTCTGAGCTCGCGCCCGTGCCCCACGTTTTGCACTTTTTGTTGGTGACTTTGCTGTTTCAGACCCCGCCGAGCGTCGTGCTGAGCTTGTCTAGTGTTAGTGCCGAGAAGACCCCGTGCTCGGGGTGCAGCCTGCTGAGGGGGTGTTCAAGGGGACCCAGCCAACGGCACATAGTCCTCAGGGCCTTGAGATATGACGGCGGGTCAGCAAGGATGCGTCCATCGACTGGCAAGAGCGTGGTGACCAGAGACTCGCAGGCCCCGCGCCCTGAGCCCCGGAGCAGGATGGCCCAGCACCTGCTCCTTCTAGAACACCAGCAGCTCCCCCAGGGGCTACGGACGGTAGACCGTTAAGCGGACCCGCGCTGTGGAGTACACAAGCTCCCAGGGCCCGGTCCAGTGAAAACGGCTACTTTGGGGTCATTTCCCCGAGTCAGGCTGCAAGACAAGACGAGCTCAGGGACGAGGGAGGCTGAGCTGCGTCTGCACAAGCTGTGCGCCACCTGGCCCCGGGGAGGGCCGTCGGGGCCCAGCGGAGCGGGGGCATTTGACGGGGGCCGGCCCGTGGGTGGCGGCATCGGGGCCAGGTGACCTGCGCGGCGGGAAGAATCTGAGCAGAAACCGTCGTTCAGCCACTGCCTGCGGCCTCGGGGGCGAGAAGCAGGAAGAAGCCGGCGAGAACAGCGCAGGGAGGGCGGGTCTGCTCTGCTCACAAGCTGCCTGGTGTCGGCGCTCACGGACAGAGCGAGCCAGTTTGTTTAAGCGGAGACATTGGGAGAAAGTTGCTCTTATGTTTAATTCCGTTGATTTGCTTCCGTGGATGATCAGTAAGTACCCATGACCTTTGAAAAAATGTGAAAAAACATCAATTCCCTGAGTATTGCTCGGTGGGCGCCAAGAGCGAGGCGGCCGCTTGAACCGACGGGGCCGGTCCCGGACACTGACTTTGTCCCCCGCCTCACGGCGCGCGGCTTCTCTGCTGCGTCCGAGCCGCGCCCCCTGAGGTCCTGAAGAGGCTCCGTTTGCTTTTCTTTCAGGAGTCGCTGCGGGCGCTCCGGTACGACGTCTCCCCGGACAGAGAGTACGCGCTGTTCTCCTACAACGTGGAGCCCGTGAGTACCGCGCGCGCCCTGCCACGCTTCCCGTGGCCTGCGTTCCCTCGCGCCTGCCTTCCCGGGGCCCTCGCGTGGGGACGCGCTGGCGGCGCCTCTCCGGCCACCCTGCCCGCGGGAGGGACTCGGCGCGAGGCTCCGGGAACAAGAGCTGCTCCCCCGGGGCCGCCTCGCCGGGCTGTCGTGGGGAGGCCGTCCGTCTGTAAAGACTCAGTCCGCCCTCCCTGCCATTCATTTTCTGGCCCTTCTCTCCGCCTCATCATAAATTTTATCCTGAGAACGAAGCCGCAGCCAGGCCTGCTCCGTCCGCGCTGACGTAACGCGGGGTGTCGCCTGCCTCGCTCCGGCCGAGGGGCCGTGCCCATGACGTCATTCTCTCTGTCATGGCCTCGGGCGGAGCCCGCCTAGGATGCCAGCAGAGATTTCCCTGAAGTCGCAGCCCGGGCGCCCCTGGCAGGCTCAGCCTGGGGCTTTCTCTCTTCCTTCTAAATGGCTCACTTCAAATTTCATGTCGGCGATTTAATTTTCAGTGAGCTTGAAGGTGACATTTGCCGTGTGCGTGAAGCAGGTGTGTGGCTTAGACGAGCCGAGCCGTGTGATCTGGGAGCGGACGTTTGTGGCCCTGGGCTCGCTGGCAAATAAACCGTGGAATTCCACGCCCTTCCCGTTCGGCTGAGCCGCTCCGGGCGTCTCCTGGATAAGAGCAAACCTCAGCAGACAGCCGAGGAAGCACCACAGCGGTGGGGTCAAAGGTTGAGTCCCAGCTGCTCCGGCACAGCTCACTCCCTCTGAGTGAGGAGAGCAGGCGGTTTCAGGGCTCTGCGTAGAGAATCTGGAGATAACAGGAGCACCCCACCGAGCGAGGGAGCATCCGGCCATGGGAGGGAGCACCCCGCTGTGGGAGGGAGCACCCCACCGTGGCAGGGAGCACCCCTCCGTGGGAGGGAGCACTTTGTCTGGTGATGAGATTCCTGCTCCCAGGAGCCTTCTAAACAGCGTCACATTGTTCTCCGGATGTCACAGAAGCATCTCACGAGGCTCATTTGGAAAAGGCCGTCTCCTCTGGGATTCTGGGTCCCCTGCTAGAAGAATTCCCCGCTGTCGGCCTCCTCCTTCCCAGAGCCCCTTCTGGCAGAGCGCCCTGGGACGCCGCTGTGCCCATAGCTGTTGGTGGGAAGACAGCACCAAGTCTGAGGCTCGCATGGGGGACGCTGCTGATGAGCGGAGTCTTGAGGTCAGGCCCCTCCTGCTGCAGCACCTACTGGGACTAGGGCGAGCTCCATCCATCTTCCAGAGGAGGGAGGCGCTGGCCACGCAGCCACATTCAAATAAGGGGTCTGCGCGCTCAGAACAGGCCGCCACGTGGAAGCCCCGACTTGAGTCAGAGGCCCTCCTAGTCGTCAGGCCCGGGCGCCGGCCCCCAGGTGCCCTACAGAAGAGCCAGAGCCGGCCTTGCTGCTCTGCTGAGTGCCAGCCCCACCCTCCCCCGTGCAGCCCAGGCGGCCCTGCGGATGCATCCAGGGCCAGGGGACAGGCACTGACCTCTGGGCAGGGATGGAGGGCAGGGGTGGGGTGGAAGGTGTCCCTGCGGACTGGGCGGCAAGAGGATGCGTGAACAAGAGCAGACAGGCAGAGCCTGCAGACAGCTAGGCCCCGTCCTGAGACAGCGAGGCTTGCAGGAGAGCATGTGGCTGTGGACAGAGCCCCCTCTTCCCTGGTGCCCCCTCTTCCCTGGTGCCCCCTCTTCCCTGGCGCGCGGGCAGAGCCGGCCCCGTTCCTTGCAGCGCACGTCCCGCTCGCCCTTGAGCACAGGCGACTGGTCAGAGGCATCCAGAAACCTGAAGCGTGTCCACTCGTGGTGAATTTCTCCTCCTCGCCTTTCTGCGTGGGGGTGGGAGTAGCTCATTTTGCACCCAAGGGGCCACGGGCTGCAGAATTCATGGAAAGCTTGAAAAAGGCTCAGCTGTGGTGAGCCCCGGCCGGGTGTCTGCGGCGGCGTCAGGGGAGTCCAGACTCGCCTCGCGGCTGGCGGGGAGCGACCCGTCTGGCTCCATCGATGGGTTAATTTTTAAAAATCACTTGAGATTTGTAAACATGAGGAATTGGCTTTAAAGTATCGAACCCGTGTCCGTGGCGAATTACAGTCCTGCTGCTGGCCTGTGGCACTGAGCGCCGGGCCGCGTGTTTCTGGGGGTGACCGCCGTCCCTTCTCCGCTGCGCTGCCCGGCTCTGCCCAGGGGCTCCCAGACGTGTGCCTTGGCCCTGAGGTGGAGCTGGAGTGGCCATTTCTGGGCCCCCCTCTGGGAGCAGCGGGTCCCAGTGGGGCTTGTGGGCCACCCACACGTTTGCACGAGCCGCGGTCATGTCAGCGTGGGAGGCGGGGTCAGCGCCCCAGCTGCAGCTGCCCACACCCACACTGCAGAGCCATCTCACCAGCCAGAGGCCCCCGCAGCTGCCTGGCAGGAGGGCGGGGGACACTCGCCTTCCCGGAATTCCTGCCTCTTCTCCTGTAGACCCCCAAGAGCCCCCGGGACGGAGCTGTCCCAGGCCTTGACTGTAACTCAGTCTGGAGCCTCGTATCCACCCACCCTTCCTTGGGCAGCAGGATCTGTAAAGAAACAGCTCACTCGCTCTGCCAGCCCCTGGCACCTGCCTCGGCCGCATGGCCCGAGACTCTCTATTCGAGCTCTAAGGCCTTGTCATCGGGTCACGAACGTGTGCAGAGCGCAGCGAGGGCCGTGCCGGGCTCCGAGGCTCACGAGGATCAGCAGGGGTGGCGGTTCTCAGGGGACCGTGGACAGGCCACCGCGGCCTCCCTGGGGTAACACACGTCGAGAACTCAGGGCCTGGAAACGGGTGCGACCTCCCGGCCAAGTCGCTCTCGCGGCCAAGGGCGAAGCTGGGCTTGCGCGGGCCAAAGCCTCCAGCGTGAGGCTGGCGTCACCTCGTGTCCAGTCTCCTGGGTCCCCAGAATGTCCCCAGGGGCCCAGGAGCCACTGCCACCCCCTCAACCGTCTCCGTATAGCGTCAGAAACCAGGATTTGGGGGGGTCACTTCCCTGGGCCCCCAGTGCATTTCTGCCAGCAGGCAGGGGCAGGTGCCCACCTGGTCTGCACCCTGGGGTTGCGGGGTCACAGGGAGGCGACCCAGGCCCCAGCCTCGCCCTCCTCAGCCGCCCCCCTGCCGCCCCCCTGAACAAGCAGAAGCACAGAGGTCGTCCAGGCAGCACCCAGCAGCCCCCTCGCCACCTCTGCCCGCCACGGGGTAAAGCATCTCCTTGGCTCGGGGCGCGCTGCGGGCGAGGCTGGGGTGAGCGCCATGCGGCGGTTCCAGCAGAAACCCCTGAGAGGAGAGGGCCATGCGCTGCGCAGCCGTGCCCGAGCAGGGCGCTGTGTCCCACCGGACACGCACTTCTGTGGGCAGGACCACGGGGCGGAGGCGAGCTCAGGAAGTTCTTGTGATGGTCCAATTGTCTGGTCCACTGGGTTTCTGGGGCAGGATGTCCTGCTCCCCCAGAGCAGAGCCGGGAGAGGAGCCGAGAGCAGAGGGAGAGGCGGCCCCACCTCCCTGTCCCTCTCAGCCTTGCTCCCGCCCCTCCCTCCTCCCATGACTCCCTCCTCCCCCCTCCTCCCCTGTGGGAGGGAGCACCCCGCTATGGAAGGGAGCGCCCCACTGTGGGAGGGAGCACCCCGCTATGGAAGGGAGCGCCCCACTGTGGGAGGGAGCACCCCGCTATGGAAGGGAGTGCCCCACTGTGGGAGGGAGCACCCCGCCATGGGAGGGAGCACGGCCATCTTGTCTTGAATAAACTCCAAAGGCCTGGCCTGGGGGCTGAGTTCTGGGTTTGCGATGTCAGGCCAGCCCTGTGTGCTCTGGTCCCACCGCATACGCGGGGCGTCGCTGAGGACCCGGGGCCCCGACTCCCACATCTGTGCGCCCTGCTGGCACAGGGCGTTCCGGGTAATGCTGCAGATGGCGGTCGGGGTGCAAGGAAAGGCAGAGACGTGGGCGCCTGTTCCTCGGGAGCCGCCTGCACACTCTCGCTCCACCGCACACCACTCGCAACAGCACCCGCCCTCGTTACTCCCCGGGCCCCAGCACCCCAGCCAAGGCCAGGCTGCCCCACCGGGCTCCGGGGAACTGGACACGTGGACGTGTCCTTCTGTTTACACGGGGGTTTACAGTCAGGCGCCAGGAGGAGAAGCGGCAGCTGACATCGTGTTCCCTGAATCCCCCCCAGCCCCCAGGCCTGCTCCTTACTTTGAAGCCGCGCCGGTGTAGACGTGGCCTCGCAGGGTTGGCTGGTCCCTGCTCCGGGCTGCCCCGCCCACCCAGCTCCCACCTGGGCCCCTGTGGGGACGCACTGGTGGCCCTGGCACGGGAGGGGGCTGGGGCAGTGCCCCCGGGCAGTGCCAGTGTGGGCAGGAAAGTGAGTGTGGATTTAAGGGACTCTGCCAAGCTACACCGTCCGTGCAGCCGGGAGCCCCACGCGCGTGCTCGGGGAGGAAGGGATGGGTACCCACGCTCGCCCCGGTGCGTCCGCCGCAAGGGCAGGTCGGCGCAAGAGCATGCCAAAGCATTCTTTGAAAAGTTTTCGTTTTCAAGACAATGAATTCGGGGCAAAGTTCCTGAGCTGAGAGAGCCAAGAGCCCCAGCACATGCTGACCACGAGCTCGGGCTCGGAGCGGGACCACAGGGGCTCGGCTAGGCGTGCCGCAGGGAGCGGGCGTGGGGACTGCGGTCACCTCCCCCAGGAGGACCGCCAAGGCAGGGCGGGGGCCAGGCTGTGGGGGGCAGGACCTGCCCTGCCGTCAGGGAGGAGACGCCCGGCTCCCTCGCCTCGCGCTGCAGAGACGGAGCAGCTGGAAACCTGGAAACTGCCTGGTGTTGGCTGCTGGACACCCACTGCGGGCCGCGGTTGGGGCCCTTGGCGTGCGCTGCGGGTGGACGCGCCACACAGCAGCAGGTGGACTTGTCCGTGGGGCGTGAGACGGTGGAAG